TCTTGCTTGGTAATGTTGACTTCATTAAATCTCAAATGACTCTTGTTTGGTAGAGAGAGTTGTTGTGACAGATTTGCTTTCGAAATGAGAGCTGACTGCATAGTGCAGCTCCATTAGCCCACATCCAAACCTGCATCTGTTCTGCTGAGATGGCACAAGCTCATTCGTGTGAAGGTGCTGAGGGTTTCGTTTACTCTCCCTTTGCATGCCAGCCAAAACTCATTAAACAAACCTCTGTGTTGTTCATGGATCAGTTGACCTGGTGTTTGAGGTGTTATCGTCTGATTTAATTGTGGGGTAAATTGAGGGAAAACACAAGATCTAATGGCTGACAGGAGATATTACCTCTACAGACAGTACCAGCAGGACTAAAGAGATTACCTCTGCAGCTCAAAACAAAGCACTAAGAAGCTTATCAGCGATCAGGTGTACATATTGCACTGCGTGTGCTCAATAGAGCCGGACATTGGGTGGTACTGCAACCTCTCGTATAGTCTTACACAGCCGTCCATTACGGCTCTCATGCATCTACGCCTCGCATCCAAGGTAACCTGACCCTTTAATGAAGCCCTCTCTGGTCTCCCGTGTCTTCCCTCACCGGTCGAATGGATTCCCTTAGGGACGAACGAGATGACAGTGCTGTTAGGATATCGCTGTTGTCGCACCGTTTCTATTGGAAAGCAGAAACCAGGCTTGCAGTTTTGTCTGCGGACAAAGCTTCTTGTAAATATACCACCCAAGACACTGATTTCCTTTGGCCGTAGTAAAAGAATGTGTGTTAGAGTGTGACTGGAGGTCGTCCAGGGGTCTATTCAGCTTGATGAGCGATTAGCGATTCCCTCCGCCCACGCAAAACTACACCAATAACTGAAACGGCTCCCCAGCAACCTCTTGTACAACAACAGAAGCCCTTTTAATGGCAACTCTGTTCATCTGCACTTCGTCAACCACCACGTACACACACTTACCGTTGTGTAGTAGTCATTGGCATTGGCATCTTCCCTGCAGAGATACTCTCTCTCTTTATACCCAGTTGGGCCATTGACTGTGAAATCTCACTTATCTTGGATTAGCCTCCTGCTGGAAAACCAGTGATTTATACTGTCTGGATCTCTACGTCTCTCCAGTGTGAGCCTAGAATTAAGTTGGATATGATGCCTGTGTTAGTAATAGGGTTACATTTATAGTACATAACTATTTCTCTTTTTTTTTTCTTTAAAGGGGAGGTCTAAAGCTATTTCATGCATTCTGACTTATTTACACTGCTAAAGATTTGGATCTCATGCTAAACATAACCAAAGTAAAAAAAAAAAATAAGTTGGATGTTTGATGGAGTGTTTCTGTGCCAAATACACTCCTTCAGGGTTCGTATAAAAGTAGAGTGTTTCTGTGCCTTCGTATAAAAGTTTTGGAAAGGTTTTTTTTTTTTTCGAGTATGGCCCTTCATGACATCATAAAGGGAGGAATTCCTTGTATGGACAATTCCTGATATAAGGAATTCCTTGTATCCGACAGAGCGGGAGCACGCCCGTCAATGTGCTTCATTTGGGTTACGAAAGTTGTCTGCAGCGCTGCACAGGACTTGCTTGAAGAATTTGTCGTTTTGTTTTTAAATCACAAAATCAACAGTCTACAAAGAAGTGTGTTTTTGGTTGTGAGGGAAAGATAACTTTGTTCAGCTTCCCAAAGAACCTAGCCTTAAGAGAACAGTGGATGCAGTTTGTTTCTCCGGGGCAGCAACAGAGTTGTGCAAGTGTGTTTGTTTGTTCCTGGCATTTCGTTGACAAATTTTTTATAAACAAATTAAATAAAATTTAGTTCAATAAAGTTTTTTTGTTCCTGTTTTATTTATGTCGATGTCACAGCTTGCAGACGATCACTACGCAAATCTTCGCATGCTCGTGTTTCTTTAGCTTTGCCCACGACACGCCTCCCAAGAGCTTGTTTTCTAAGAGAAGCCTAAAGCTGTGTCTGTCTTTTATAAATCTGCTAAAACTAAAGACTCTTCGGTGATATGACGGATGCAGTACTACTCTATAGGTACTCAAGATTAACATGAGATTGGGTGAAACT